TATTTGGGGTCACAAGTTTTTGCCAGGAATATTTTGTGGGTCAGAAGATAAAAAGTTTGGGAACCACTGCTCTAGTCCAGGGGTCTGCAACCTTTACGATCAAAAGAGCCATTTCTGCTACTTGGCTCACTAATAAAATGTGTCCAGAGCCACAAAACAAGCTACAACTGTGGTTATCAACTGGTGGTCAGTGGGCCTTTTCGGGAATCTTCACGGCCAGTGGAGGTGACAATAAAACCAAGAAATATATTGTGAATTTTATTATCTATTCTTATTTTTACACATCAGGACAAATGGAAAGACCATATTCATAGAAACAAGAAAAATACTGTATATAGTTTATACTGAATTTCATAAAAACTAGTACAACTGAACTATTCAAGCATATATTTTTTCTAAATCTTAATAATATGTAGTCCTCAGATTGTTTAAAGGTAATTCTGATGAATTTGAGAGAAAGATCTTAGAAAGAAGTTGGATTATTTAAGTTAACGGGCTAGCATGTTTTACTTTTTGTATTAGCAAGATTGATCACATATTTGCATAGAAATTGATTTCTTTTGTGAGTATAAAAGATTATTCTGTTATGTTTGGTCACATTTTAAAAGAGCCACTGCAGAGGGACCAAGGAGCCACATGTGGCCCCAGAGCCGCAGGTTGCAGACCCCTGCCCCAGTCATATACGGTACCTCATTGGTAACACCAGTGAGTCTCTCCACAGCACTGACAGGATTGGTCCTCTCCCCTTGGGGCCACAATGACGGTCCTCTTCGGTAACGCAGAACTGAGATTCATTGCTCAACATAATGTTTCAATGGCAGCTTCCACATGAAACAGTGAACCTGTAGTTCGGCTGATGTCAGTCGCAGTGCTCTGTCTTGTCTGACCAGAACCTTAATGTTGTACAGTATGTGGGTACCCTCACTTACCCACTGATTACTGCACGCCACGACCACCAGACACAAGAAAATACACTTTCCTGATGTTCTCTGGTGCTCGTCATCGACATGCCAGCTTCTTTTTAAATTAAATTGTTGTGCACCAAATCAAAATTCAGTCAAACCATGGGTTCCTTTGACTAAATAGATAATGAACCTTTGTGTTTTGACTTTAAATATCCTTATTTATATGTTTGTATCTCTTCACTGATTCTTCATTTCTTTTCATTCAGGAAGAAAACAAAGAAACTCAACTGGTTGACTCTTCTGTTTAAAGACTTCAACTTAGAAAAAGAGGTAAACCTTTCTTAAGTGAGCATTTGATGAGGTGTATTAGCGATGGAACTTCATGTCTAATCAGTGCTTTTCTCAGTGTTTTTTGAAAAACATCTTGTTTTTGTTGTATATCCTGAAATGTGACCAAACCGCATGAACTTTCTCATTTGTTTGTTTTGTAGTTTCGTTTTTCGGAGGTCACGGATGTCCACCACTCAATGAGCTGCATGGCCGCAGTCTTCGTCACTCTCTTCACGGTCCAGATGCTCGTCTCTGAAAAGTAAATAGCTCTTGAGTCATGTTCCTACAACAGCTTACAGGTTTTATCATGTTTTATGTCCTTGTGTTTCCAGAATCGCTCTCTACTGTTACTGCCAAAACACACAGGTCTTCTCTTTCTGTGTAGTAAACAACGTTTTAAGTAAAATAATAATAATAAAGTTGTAATTTTTTTTAAACAGGAACTATCAGATGGGAGTGTCTTATGGTGTGACGTTTCTTGCGATGTTGCTGCTTCTGCTTGTTGCTCTCACTGAWCATATAGAGGTAAATCAAAACGTGGACTTTTCATGTGTTAATAATAAACTGAATAGATATTCACATCAGCAGCAATACTTTAGGTATTCATCTTTTTATACCTAAAGATACCAGTGAGTAATATTTTGTAAAATTAAAAATCTTTTTTTTTATTTGAGACAACTTACTGTTAATCAAACACATTGTGCATTGAAAAGTCATGTAATTAGAGTAATTCAGTAACGAAACTGTGCATGTTTTTGTTTTTATTTAAAGAAATTACGCTCTAAGATGCCTCTGAATGCTCAGTGGGTCAGATATCTGTCACGGGCCGTTTCAACCAAGGCGGCGCTGCGGCTGTTTCTGGTCATTCTCTGTGTCCTCATCACCTTACTCATGGCTTTCCTCAACATCGTGAGTATCTCGCTTTTGTAATCTTTGTCAAGAAAAAAAATAAAGAAAAAAGTATCAAGTATACTACACACTGTGTACTTGTAGTGTACTAGAAAATATACAGCTTTAATACTCATTCTGACCAATCTGGGACCTTTTTAAGTTTATAAAAAGTATAAGTATTAAGTATACTGTTATAAGGTCTTTTTATAATTTACCAAATTACACACTGAAGTACACTCATCTATATACTAGTGTACTACGTATACTTGTGTTCATATTTTAGCTTGTTGAATTATATTTAAAGTGTACCACAAGTATACTTCTCTCTGTACTGCCGTTGCACTAGTTCTATACTTCTAATTCACATTTAGGTTTATTTAAGTATACCTTAAGTACACTTTTATGAATTACTAAAATTAAAATGCTATTTTTTTTAATTGTTAGATTATACTTGTTAGTTGGCTTACTTGTATAATACAATTTAAATGCTGAAATATACTTCCTAAAGTATAGCCCATACTGTACGAATACTACACTGTAACATTTTTACAAAATCACAAGACAGACTCTTGAGAATAACTTTGACATATTTATATAACATTTAAAAAATGTATAAGTTTAATTCTTAGTATTATTGTACTTAGTCTTAAACCTCTATTTATACTTTTCAGTACAAGACCAAGTATACATCATTATACTATTCTTAAATATATCAAATATAGTTTATAAAAAGTCAGTTTTAATACACTGCCTCACTATTTTGTGTGTGTGTGTAAAATAAGTGTACTTGTAGTACACCTAAACTGCTTTTTGCTAAAGAACAGTTTGGYAGAGAAGCTCTCAGATGAACAACGTCAGGTTAAATTATTTATGTAACAAAAACTCAGTCAAAATTCAGAAACAAGACATGGAAATTCACAGGAATTGAGTTTTTAAGAGCTAGCTTCTGCTAATCAAATTCATTGATTACCTACCTTATTTGGGGCGGCTGTGGCAGAGTGTTTAGGGGAGTCATCCTGGAACTGGAAGGTTGCCGGTTTGATCCCCCATTCCAGCTGTCTCAGTTGTTGTGTCCTTAGGCAAGACACTTCACCCCCAACAGCTCTGATGTGTGTCCCATCAGTGAATGTGATTGGCACTGATTAGTCTCGGATTGATACATGTTAGCTTTGTAGAGACTGTGCTGTGTGAATGGGTAAATGAGGACAGTTTGTAGTATAAAACACAGTATCCTGGTTGGATAAGAAAGGAACTATACAAGCACAGTCCATTTACCTGATCATTGTGGGCAGTGTTGTATGATGTAGCACAAAGTAATACGTGAGTAAAAGTACAAGTATCTTACCAAAAAAATTACTTTGGTAAAAGTTAAAGTCTCCTTTAGGAATATTACTAGAGTAAAAGTACAAGTATTTTACCAAAAATACTTTGGTAAAAGTTAAAGTCTCCTTTAGGAATATTACTTGAGTAAAAGTCTTAAAGTATCTGATATTTTTTTGTACTTAAGTATTAAAAGTCAACGTATTGATTTAAAATGAGCAGTTAGATTTTCTGTAAGGACATTTATTAGGAGGTGAGCTCCCCAAAACTGCAGAAATGACTGTTGAATTAAAATAATTAAATTATGTTAAATTTAGGGTGCACTAGACCAGCTGTTTCAGTTTATATACATATATCAAGGCTGCACAAACCTTTTCCCCAAAATGAAAATTGATCTGAGGRCTGCGGCCAAATGCAATAATATAATTCATGAAATACAAATACTTCTGAAGTACAGTACTTTTATTTTAATGATTCTGTCCTGCTGGAGTGTGACATGATGTTTGTGTACAAACTAATACAGTATCAGTGTTTTATATATTTATACTTCTCATTCAACCACAATTAAATTCACTCTATCCAGGAGGCACAGTTTATATGGATAGTATTTATTTACTATAACAAGATGCAATGAAAACAAGCAAAATGAAATACAAGAAACAACTTTCTACTTCTTGCCTTTTTTAAAAAATGTAGTGAGTAGAAAGTACAGATAATTGTGTGAAAATGTAAAAAGTAGAAGTAAAAAGTAGGCTCAAAAATAATTACTCAAGTAAAGCACAGATACCCAAAAATTCTACTTAAGTACAGTAAAGAAGTATTTGTACTTAGTTACTTTCCAACTCTGATTGTGGGGTATAAAAGCTTTTGAAAAACAAAAATTTGGACAGTTTGCTGCACCACAGGATTCAGACGTGAGTTTGTTCAACACTGAGCAGGAAGGACATGGACACAGAAGCTGCTCATCAACCATGGGAATCATTCAAACTTCTTTCACAAACAACAAAGAGTCTTTCACTTTACACAAATTATTATTGAAGGAAGTTTCCCAAATAGAGGAAATACAATTGTTAGATTGTTTGTGTTAGAGATTAGACTAATTTTCATTATGTCATCATTTCATCAGTGACTGTCTTCTGCTCTACATGTGTCTCTTCCAGGTCTTCCTCCGAGGAGACAACTGCACCTCAGTGGCTAACGTCACGGAGTTAGACGGACTCAGACTGTATACTGTACCTGTAAGTACCGCCACAGAAACAACGCTCCATGTTTTTGATTTATTTTACAACATATACATAGTTCTACTTATTGATATTTGCAATTAAAAGTGTGAGTCAAAAGTCCCAGGACGCGCTTTAGTTTTAGACATGTCTATTAGGGCTGCAGCTAACGATTATTTTAGTAGTCGATTAATCTATTGATTATTCTGACGATTAATCAAATAATTGGATATAAAAAAATTGTCATGTTCTGCAGTAATTACTTTAGCTTATTTTATGAGAAATACAATTATTTAATATTGTGAAGGGGTAATCTACACCTGCTGATGACCTGCTGCAATCAAAGTAAAATTACAACACCGGTTGTATTAATTCATGCATTTTAAACTCCAGTTACTTGTATTTATGTGTGTGAGGTTTGAGGAGACATTAATTAAAAGTACTCTGTCACTGAATCATTTTTAACCATCACTGAGAAATCTAAATACTGTAAATTTATTGTTATCGATTGGAAAACAGAATCTGTTTTTTTGTTGTTAGAAAATTAATAAGTAAAATGCGTAATATAAACATTTGGGTGTTGGTTTTGTAGAGTTCTCTTGTTAATTG